TATAATATAGGTACGACTGATGCAAAGTACGAGGAACATATGTGTGGTGCAAACCATCGGTACATTGTAAACATGGGACGGTAGCATGGTACACTTGCTGAGAACAAGGTGCGGCAACATGGTACGATTTGTGAGGTACAATTGGTACGATACAGCGCCTTTTATGAAGTACGGTACAGTACCACTAGGGCACGTTGATGATGTGTGGTACGGTAGCACAGTACAGTACGGTACTGTGCGACAAAACGACAGTGACAGTGACAGCACTGCATTGTGCACAAGCTTATCGACATACGTCCCAAATCGCGATGCAAGTCAGTGAATGTTTCTTTTTTCCTGACTTCGACTTCAAGCATTCAAATGTTTGTCCATCAACCCATGATGGCAAGCTACATCAAGTCTGCGTCAGCACACTTTGCTGGCTCGGGTTGCAATGAGATCCACTAACTGGCTGTACAAGTAAAAGCAGTAGCATCTCAGCAACCGATTATGTCAACTTTCAACTGTGAAACTTGGTTAGCGGTTGTTGCGCCACTTGTGCATCATATTGGTTGCACAGTTCAATTCTTCGATGTCACTTGGCGAATCAAACCTTGATACAGATAGCAAGGCAATCACGGAAGCCATAATGCAGTTCATAGAGAACCTCGTCAAAGTGAGACAGAACATAGAGCTACTGTGTGGTGGCCACACATAGAAACAACAAGTAAACTGTAAACTAAACTAACATAAATTGAATTGCATTACACTCCCTGCACACCAAAAAACGAATTGCCGGCGAGATCTGCAAGTTGCGAATCAGTGTGTTCCACACTTTCCGCGTTTCGTGGAAGATCAGTGAGTTGGAGCCCTTGAATCGCCAGTGCCTCTCTGCCTCGATACGATACTAGAAGTAGTAGTAGTAATAATAATAGTATAGGAATAGTAATAAATAGTAATAGTAGTAGTATTAGATGCACATAAGTAAGACTTGACCGGATACAACAATCTAGGTAGCCTAGGCCTAAACTAAACAACAAGTTCATTGCGCATTGCAAGCAAACTACCCAGTAGTGGTCGCATCCGCTGCACACTCCATAGCTTTTGACCAGGTAGAATTGTTGGCACCACCTGTTACTCGCAAGTGCACGATCATTTACTTATTTTTTGGTAGGCTTCACTAACAAAGCTAAAATGCAGCTAGTGTGCTCCTGAAGACATAGTACTAGTGCGCACTCGTGTCACAGTTTGCGATAGATCTGCATAAGCGATTGGTGACTTTCCATCAGATATCGAGCGGTTGTTCCAAAGGTCAACAAAGCAAACAACCTGCAGCCGCCACAACCAAAAAAGAAAGAATCCGATTCTGCACATTGGTGTGTCACATACACAAACATCGCAGGCCGAATCATTAGAAATTAGAACTTAGAACATAGAAAAACACATGTATGTTGTCACTGCCGTTAGCACCTCCTGTTCTCGACGTGGTAAGGTCTTAAACCAGCTGCTCGACTGCAATTTCACTGAAGCTGACAAAGGCCACTGAACCCCCATAGACTCTGCCATACTACTGTGACTGTCAACCCACTTCTCAGAAGCAGTGGATGATTGACTCTTCTTTTCATCTGCGTCCACACGTCGCTTCAACTCATACATGACAAAAGCGTTATCATCATCCAGGAGGAAAGTCTCCTGGCAATTGGTGCATCAAGTGATCATATATTTCTATTTGTGACTATTTCCATCTGTTTCCAAATCTTCCAACTCACCGCAATACAGTAATCAAAACATAACAGAACCATGTTTCCCTGGCTAGGTCCCTGGCTACTGGCTCACAAACAGTAGATGACATAGCTTGCAGTCGCAATGGAATCTTCTCCACCAAGAGCCGTGCATGCTCAGACAGATTGCTCACAATCCGCAGACCAAAGATGTAGTACCTGCAACGGCGCTGTGGCAAACCATAATCATTTGCCCTCAACTTCGTAGCATGACAAGCAAAGCCAATCTCAGACAAGTAGTCCAACACCATCGTCAAATTCGATTTCAGCTGCCTGAAACACTTTGCTGTCTAGTGAGTCTGCATCTGTGTCAGTAAAGTTTGTTTGTTTACGAAATACATCTCGCTGTAATTTCAGTCCAGTCACTGTGTGTCTTGCTCGTCTGTCCCAGTAGGTGTGTCCATACTATCTACATTCTCCAAAATGAAGCCATGTGGTTTTGTTTTTTGTAGCATGGGCACAACACCCTTGAATGTAGCGGTCGAACTGCAGTCCTGAGCAACATCAGAGCTTACTAAACACAATGTCACAAAGTAAAGGAAAGCTTGGAACTTGACATTGAACAATTAGACATTGCTATGTCTCAGTGCCCTGTTCTAGTGCACGTTTGAAGCTGGCGAAGTCCGTGTTCATTCGACTGAATGACCTTGCAGGTTTCATCATTGCATTCACTGAACGATATGTTGTATATATGACACATATTATATATCTATAGTCTATAGAGTCTATAGTCTAGTCACTAGTCATAAGTAATGCCATCTTCAAAAAACAACAAGAAGCTCTGAGAGGAGTACTTACAAGAAAACCCTGCAATGAATAGTCCATAGTTGTCACCTTCATCCTGTCCACAGCACGGAAGTTCCTCAAACACAATGATCCCACATTGATGCAAGCAATACACAAATACAACAGTGTAGACAGTGTAGAAATCTACATAATAATACTGAGCTTTGCACACAACTGGTGCGGTGAGTGATGCAACGTCGTTGTGACACATCATCTACTTTGGTGATGTCTTCAAACACGCACGTAGTGTCCAAGTCCTTTGGCAGTGTCAGTTAAGTGACTAAGTGACACTATGTTTCTTTTGAATAAACTGCAGCTGTGGCGACAAGCGATTGTGAGTCCTCTTCAGGAATAATATGTCTTTGCAAAAACTTTTGCTTGTTCGGGATGATCTCACTCATGACCAAACAGGTAGCCTGCAAAAGGATCTAGGAAAACTACACTGCAAATTGAAATCAACATTGTTGTTTTTTTCAACAAGTGTGTGTGTGGATAGTTTGTGGCCTTGAATGTGCGATCAGTGTCTGCTTCTGGAAAGCGACGATCAAATTCATCCAGAACTTTGCGAACAACTATTTCTGCCATTCCGCTACCGGTGCAGGCAGACAAGATCTCTACATTGCGTGGGAGAGCATGCAATATGACTTGCAGCGATTCCGATCCAATCGCGTTGGCAAGTCGTTGCACTTGTTCCTGCAAATTCAAAACATAGTTTGACTGACTTTGATAGTGACTCTATAACAGTCATGTTGATTGCAATGTACACTGTGGGACTGTGGTGCAACAAAATTGCAAAGTGAGTGCCTTCGCAAATTTGCCAATCAAATCAGCTTCCCCATCATCATCATCATCATCAGCAGCAGCGGAACCAGCATCATTATCATCATCATCATCATCACCAGGATCTTCAGGCTCACCTTCTGGAGGCTCTGTTTTGGTTGGCTGGGCTGGCTGGGCTGGCGCATCTGACTTGGCTGTATTGGGCTCTGGGGTTGGCAGGACTAACATGGTTGCATCAGTTGCATCGTTTGCCATGGTTTCACTGGGGGCTGACTGGGCTGACACATCTGCAGTAGTTGCCTCAGGCTCTGCTGGAGCTGGAATGGCGTCCTCATCAGCCATGGTGTCAGTGGGCTCTATCTTGACTGGCTGGGTTGATGCATCTCCAGTGGTTGCCTCAGGCTCCGCTGGAGTTGGCATGGCTTCCTCATCAGCCATGGTTTCATTGGGCTGTGCGGTTGCATCAGGCTCCGCTGGAGTTGGCATTGTTTCCTCGTCTGCCATGGTTTGATTCGGCTCTGTGGTTGCATCAGGCTCCGCTGGAGTTGGCATGGTTTCCTCGTCTGCCATGGTTTGATTGGGCTCTATCTCCGCTGGTATGGTTTCCTCATCAACCATGGTATCATTGGCCTTTGTGACAACATCAGGCTCCGCTGGAGTTGGCATGGTTGCCTCAGGCTGTGCTGGAGTTGGCATCGATGCCTCATCAGGCTCAATGGAGTTGTCAGGCGGTGTGGCTTCCACTGGTTGTGAAATAGCCCAATCCAATGTTCGAAGGATCTGTGCCTCCTCTTCTGGATCAATAGGAGAGCCAGTTGATTCACTGCGAGCATCAACATCTGGCTGATCTGGCTCTGTGGCTGAGTTGGCTGCAGCTCCACTGGCTTCATATCCACTGGCAGTGGCTGGTTCAACTGACTCAGGCTGTAGTTCAGGCTGCACACTACCAACGCCTACCAGGACTCTAAGACCATGACTCTGACTCTGACTCTAACATCGTACTAGTCACTAAGTATCACGGTAGTGGAAACAATACACATTCATACATACATAGGGAATAGTTACATATGTTCATTCAACATTCATATGCAATAGACTATGTCGCTATGCCAAGCCTGAAGCTCGAGGAAGGTCAGCCCTGAATCTGTCCCAATAGTTTTTGGCAGCAATGTTGACCTCTGTTGGTAACCTCTCATCCACGGACGCCTGATTGCGTGGATTCTTGGCCTTTGCTTTCGGGTTCCTTTTTGGCATGCTTGTCTTAGCTGCAGCCATCTTTGCTTTTGCTTTTGCTGCGGCTGCAACTTTTGCGGCCGCTTTTGCTTTTGCTTTCGCTTTCGGTGTCGGAGCTGAATCTAGATCAGCTGCTTTGCGTTTGGGCGCCATCTCTACCAGAACACTGTTCGACCTAGCTATCTTAGGACTTGGACCTGACCTGCCAAACGAAAACAAAACAATACAATTGAATGAGTCAGTGAATATAGTTCTTAGTTCTTACACTCAAAGCATTCATATTCGATTCAAAACAAAGCAATGCAATCATGAAATCATATTCCTTTTTTTTTTCTTATTATGCATCAACGTCTTTGTCTTGTGCTTTGTCCGTCCGCTAAGTTCTTGCAAGCCACCACTACCAAGTTGTTTAGTTGCCGTTCCTGTACTGGAAATGTACTGTACTGTATTTGCCCAACCGCAACCTTTTGGAAAGGTTTCAAGTTAAGGCTTTACCCCTGAGCAATCACCCACAGCGGTGCCATCCAAATGAAATTGCGTATTCACACATTCATCATGGACCATGCACCAATGTCAAACAGCTTGATGAATTGATACAACAAACAACAAGTAGTGGCGAATTAGCACCTCGCTTCAAATGGCATTGTGGTTATGCCGAAGTGCTACAATGCAGGGCTTTTGCATTCAAACTGTCAGTTGTCACAAATTCCTCCACATCTTGGGTGAAGGCCATTGCACCATTCAGATCACTTCTGGCCAATCAAATCAGTCGCAATTGCCTGGACATTGGCTGAGATTTCCAGGCTGTATTCGTTTGCGATGCTCAATGATTCCTTGAGAGAAGCCACGATCCTCTCACTTGCCCGTGATTTGGTAGTCAATGACTTCATCATGGATTTGGAGCACATGCAGGTAAGGAGGTTTCCCGTAATCCTGAGCTAGTATAGGATTAAATCCATCCATAACAAATATCATGTTCAGTTGTACTTGTGTGAAAGATTGTTTGCCAGTCTGTCAAAAGTTTTTTTTTTCATTTGTTTGTCCTTCAACAATGAACAAACATATGTCTGAGCCCGTTGCATCCAAGTCAGACATGCTCTCCAATTGGCTTCCAAAGTCTCGAACTGGCCGTTGCTGAGATCGGTAGTGGAAAGATGGAGAGCGCTGGCAAACTGCTTTAACTCCTTCAAACACGTCTCCATTGTCATAGTATCGTTCATCACCTGCGTGTTCAAAGTGTCAGGAAATGTCTCCTTGACTAGCGCCACATGTTTCACTAGCTCATCAATCTTGTCATACTTGAAGAGTTCATTTGGTATCGACACGCAAGGCATCACTACTTTGCTCATGGTCTGCTCAATGGCGGCTTTCACTGATTTTCCGAATTGGTCTGATGTCTTTTCCAGCCATGAAAAGAGATTGACTGAGCCAGTCACAAAGTTTTTGCCTTCTTGAACATCACTTTCATCTGCTGAATCAGATCGCATTGCACTGATCATGGCATCCAAAGTCTTCCAGTGATAGTCTGCATCAGCCTTGACTGCATCGGAATGAAGATATTTGTTGAGCTTGCCAATGCAGGCAAACTCCTCTGAATCAACTTCGTCAATAGGTGCTTTGTTGTGGAACCTCATGACATCTGGGTTGCTCAGGCATTGGTAGCTGGATACCATGATGTCAAGAACATGCAAACCAACTCGGACTGCAACACCACGGTCTCCCATGACACTTGATAAACGCATGGAGTCCTCCAGATTCTTCTTGAAGCTATCCAGAGATGACTGATCCAAAGGCTTCTTGGTCTCAGATGAAAGCAAATGATCGGACACTATGTTCATACAGTGCTTGATGCATGTTGAAGCCTCTGAATCAACTTGTCCGCAGAGGAGTTGCTTGACTGCATCAAGCAATGGATCATTCAGTTCCTGAAGGTCAGACAGCATGCCATCGCTGTTCTCAAATGATTCCTTGCAAAATGTTCTGAGTGAAGTCCACCATGATTCGAACTCTTCCATGCAAGATTGAGCATCACGAACATCCACCTTCTTGCTCAATGCATTGTTGATGACGCCGGCAAGCGATGTCAACTTGGTGAATGTGTCTCGCAATGTCGAAACGAGCTTGTGGTAGGCATGGTCTTTTGATGGCAAAGAAAAGATACAGGCATCCTGCAGCAGCACTTGTGGATCAACTGGCGTTGCTTCTGGAATGGACTCTTTGAGTTTGATCAGGTACGGCAACAAGTCTGCAGTGATACAGCCAATCAGTGCCACATGCACAGAGTCGTCAACCAACACCGCAAGAGTTTTCACAGCGTCTTTGTCGACTCCCTTCAAGAGCTTTGCTGCCTTGTCTTGTGTAGCTTCCAATGCATCTGAAAGCCTTTGCTTGAAGACTCAATGTTCAACCAATTAGTATTTACCTATGTATATATATAGAATTATGAATAATGAATTTTCGGTCAAACAATTGTAATCATATAAAAATTTTAAATATTCATAGAGTAAACAAATCTCTTGCCCTAGAGCAGTCTAGAAGCAACTTGCCATAGGCAGCTCCCAAAGGATCGCCAGATAGATCATTCTCATCAGTGATAGCCTGTTCCTCCAATGCAGAGGTGTGTTCCCCGATCTTTTCAAGGATACCATTTTGATTCTCCCTGTTGGCAGCATTTTCCAAGGCCAATTGTGTCATACGCTTTCCTTTGTCCAGCTTGAAAGCACTAGCCAACCAATGGCTCGAGCTGTTCAAGAGCTGCACTGCATTGTTCACTTGCGATGGTGGCGTACGCAAGTCCATGACATTCAATATTGCAAGTGAAACATTCATGTTGTCTTCACAACTGCCATCCAGTAGATCATCGTTGTTGGACAAGGCGTCATGTAAAGCCTGGACAAACTTGACCACAAAAGGAAAATCTTTGGCTGGATCTTTCATAGTCTTGGTCTGTGATGATGACTTCAGCATTCGCTGTATCAATTGACTTGCTAGGAGAGAAAAATGAGATCGACCTGCTTCTTCGCCAAGATGATGCTGACAAAGAAGCTGTGTGTTATTGAAGAACCGCTCGAAGTTTGCGGTTTTCAGGTCCTTCGTGTGTACCAACATCAAAACTCAATGGATTAAACTTAAATAAGACTCAAACTAAACTTGAAACTAGTTGATTGTGACAGTGGCAGCTATTGGTTTTTCAGTTAAATATAAATATGAATTGAATTGAACATCGAATTAAAATATGTACTGTCCTCAAATGCAACTCCACGCAATGCCCGCTGCCAAACCGCAGATGAAACCTGAATGATGTCATCACCCTTCTCTTTGACAAGGCACTTGATGTTGTCGTAGGTGTTGCTACCCTCTAATGTCCCGAGTGAAAGCTGCTTCAGAAGGCCTATATGTGCGTTGACATCAGCAACGATTTTGTCTAACTCATCAGTCAAAGCACTGGCATCTGCTGCGGTTCTTCTCTTCAAACTCTTCTTCTTGGTAAGAATGGATGATTTCAGCTCATTCAAGTTCTTGGTTTTGTCCTTCTGCCAAGGTGCAAAACCACTGTCATCTGACTTTTCTGCATCCAGTTTCAGCAACGGAATCAATTGCGCTATATAGCCATCAATCACTGCTTGATCATCTTTGCTTCTTTTGGATTCTGTTTGGTCGCCTTCATCAACCTTGGCGGGAGTTTCACGTTTGGTTGTTCCCTTCCTGTTTGGTTTGCCACCGCCGCCACCAGTGCCGCCTCCACCACCATTGTTTGGTACAGACGGTGCAGCCGTAGTCTCAGCAGTTGAAGGTGTTGAAGCTGGTTTGGTCCTCTTTGGGGGCTGTGTAGCTGATGATGCAGGAGCTGATCGCTTCTTCTCCTTGAGCATTCTGTGCAAAAGTCCTTGAAATGGTTGTGGATCAAGATCTGCATCATCATCATCTGCATGGCACTCTTCTTCACCACCTGCTCCATGTCCTTTTCCTTTCTCTCCTTCACTTGCGAGTTCAACTGCATCAGATGCACCAGAATGAAAACGGACTGGAATAGCCGACTTGTCCGATGTTGCAAATGTTGATTGCTTTAAGGTTTTCAGTGCTGATGCATGTATGACATCATTTTGCTCTGCACTGAGTTGTACGTCGGAGTTCATCGCAGTCACACGAGCCACTTTGGTGATGTTTTGGTCAATGTACTCATAGACACCCACATCATCTTCGTCTATCACATCTACACCAAGCAAAGTTTGACCATTGTAGACTTGCTGCTTGATTTGATCTTCAGGAGCTGGACCAAATTTTCGTTCATATGCACTTAGTTCCAGAAAACGTTTCTTTGGTCCCTTCAAACCAGTCACCACCTCCTCTTCAACATTGATAGATTCTCGCAGACTCTTGGTCATCTTCAAGGCTGGGTTCTCCATCTTTTGTTTCACGAGGTTTTCCCTTTGTTGAAGGAAACGATGGTTGCCAACTGGATCTGAATCAAGCTTCTTGTCAACTGCTTTCATGCAGCCGCATTCGTGCAAATACCCTCCAATCTCCACAGCCTGCAGGCTCAAATGTATCAATGTCCAGTACCCCTCTACTTGCACATCCCATGTACTTGTACCCATGTGTACCTGTACCCATGTACCTGTACCCATGTACCTGTACCCATGTACC